AATGCCGAGTGTGGCGTAAAACTAAATTCACTCTCTCACTGGTACCAATACATCTAAAAGGTAATGTCATCATCATTAAAATTGTGAGTTTAAACGCGTATTTTACCCTTACAAGGACGAGTGCATTCCACACACCCTTCCTGTTATCAAAGCGTCACTGTTTACAGTTCGGGCGAACATAACCCTATAGACATGTGTGCGGGCGAGTTCATTCATCAGAAATCTGTCATTTACGATGTGTTTATAAATATGAACTGCTAACCACGCTCATAGTCATGTTGCGTGTCGTGGTTAGAACCGTAATTGATCTATTGAAAGGTGTCATACACTCGTGTTCGGATATAGGTACAACATCTTCACGCACATACTTTCCTACATCATTCAAATGTATTAAATACCGGATACGTTTAATAGACACCAACGAAAGAAAAGTTTAATGAGGGGGGAATACCCATATATATCCTCTCTGAAATGACTCCCTTTTAAAATAACAAATGTACAACGCATGTTCCCTAACGTATCATACATACGGGACACTGCTCACACAATTTATGAATGGGAAGCTTCAGGCGAGGCTGTTATGATAACATTAATTGTAAGGCCGGGGTATGTTGACATTGTTATGGGCGGCCGGTCGCTTAGTCTCTCTGCTATACATTAGCTATGAATAAACCTATATTTCCAATAAAACATTTTCCTCGTCAAACAATTTTCCATGATAAACTCTGTTCTCTCTTCGAATTAAGGGTGAGTATTGTAAACATGAAAATGTCCTATAGATTGCTTCCATCACTTTCCCAACAAACCTAGCTTCGTGCCGTCACACTGGTACATGTACTTATCAGTTTTCTATCTATTTTCAAAATAGCACGTTCTGAAGTAAAACTGTGCACATCATGTTACAGGGTTAAAACTCAAACCGTAGGGCTTATTTGTCATCGCGTTAAATGGAATGCTAGCATTGAAACATCAACTATGCAAGTCGGGACAGGGCTGAACGCCTTCTATTCAAATATGTGGTCACGTGAGTTGTCAAGCGCGCTCAATTCAAACTGGGCTGACGGGTACGGTGTGTCTATTCAAGGCAGCACGCTATACGCATAGCTCTATTCATAACCTTTTACTTTTGTTTTCTTATGAATTCTTTTCTGCCTTATAAACACACACACCTTTCATTCCCCCCTCACCTGTGACGCGCTGTTGATGCATGAGTCATCATATCCGATCACGTGACTTGGATCAACCAATCATCTTCCCTATTTTCACTCAACCTCCCTCAACCAAAAGGGGGTTGCTGCGGACTGACACTATACTACTACCATGACATACAGTACTAAAACAAAATAACACCCAATTTTGTCATGCCATGGCTTTGTCTTTAATTTCAGTTAAGCACTATACATTAATTGGACATGTAGCTTGTGTAAGGTCATAAATATCAATTATTAGATATTTACTCCCACCTCCCTCACTGCCGAACACTTCTGAATGTTCCCAAGTATCTACAGACAAGAAAAGTTATGTGAGTTCCCTTCTTTCTTCGCTTGATGACATTCCTACCAAACTACTTGTCTGGATGTGAATCCATCGAAAAGTAATGCACACAAGTGCTTTACACATTTCTTGAAAATAACAATAAAATATCTCCCCATCTCATTTTTTTTCAAATTTATATCAAAGACGACTAGATCTGCAGCCTCACCAACAGAAACTATCAAGAATTTCTGAGCTACTATTTCCTAAGGTCATAAAGATATCCCACACATATTGTCGTATCTCACCGCTCACTGTACAAGGGAGAACTTATTTCATCAGATCAGAAACTTTGTATGACATAATATCATGTCCTTGTTCACGAGACGTATACCTGTATAAGTCCATGGAATGTTGTATGTTTGTGGTGGCTAGTTCGTGTGACAAGGTAGTCGTGTTAATTTCCGTCACTGGCATAACAGGCAGATATCTTTTGACATGCTACATACCATAAAAAACATTATCAGATGGCAAGATAGGTATAATACTAAATTATTTTTCATTTTATTCGTATTTGAGGTGCACATTTTGAAATGAGTGTCGCTTCAGAAACCACATTCACCCCTTGAGATTTCTACTCCAAGACATTGTATGCCCATTTTACATGTTAAAAACCAAAAAAACAAATGATTATCAATAACAGTTTGGATCAGCGATTTGGCTTGTTTTTGAGACAATATATGCCCATTTTACATGTTAAAAAAACATGTTAATTGATTAACTATCAATAATAATGTTGATCAGCGATTTGGCTTGCTTTTGAGACAATATATGCCCATTTTACATGTTAAAAAAACATGTTAATTGATTAACTATCAATAATAATGTTGATCAGCGATTTGGCTTGTTTTTGAGACAATATATGCCCATTTTACATGTTAAAAAAACATGTTAATTGATTAACTATCAATAATAATGTTGATCAGCGATTTGGCTTTTTTTGAGACAATATATGCCCATTTTACATGTTAAAAAAACATGTTAATTGATTAACTATCAATAATAATGTTGATCAGCGATTTGGCTTGTTTTTGAGGCATTATATGCCCATTTTACATGTTAAAAAAACATGTTAATTGATTAACTATCAATAATAATGTTGATCAGCGATTTGGCTTGTTTTTGAGGCATTATATGCCCATTTTACATATTAAAAAAACATGTTAATTGATTAACTATCCATAATAATGTGGATCAGTGATATGGCTTGTGAGATGATATGCATTCTGATTAAAGATACATAAAAACATGAAAATGGTTCATGTTATGGAGTATGACAAAATAATTTGAATAAAACATGGCTCCCTTTCTTCGATGAAATGCATGATGAAGTATTGCACATCAAGTTGAATAGAAAACATGGCTCCCTTCCTTCGATGAAATGCATGATGAAGTATTGCACATCAAGTTGAATAGAAAACATGGCTCCCTTCCTTCGATGAAATACAGGACAGAAATGATCTTCTGCACATTGACAAAATAACATCAATTCTAAAAATGATGTCATTCTAATACTACAAAGCAAATAAATTAAATAATACTAAATAACCTTGTACATCATGTCCACAATCCACAATACAAAATACTCTCCAAATATATCGGTGTTGTAAAATTTGCATTGAATCTCAAACAGTTGCATCATTAACAGTGTAACAGCATAACAAAAAGTGCTATGTAAAAAGCAAAGCTTGGCCAAATGGATTTGTTTCTTTGGCACAAAAGTGTCACTTCTCATTGTTGTTTTTTATTACAAGGTTGTTTGTTTGTTTGTTTGTTTAACGCCACTCAGCAATATTCCAACTATATGACGGCGGTCTGTAAATAATCGAGTCTGGACCAGACAATCCAGTTATTAATATCATGAGCATCAATCCACGCAATTGGGATCGATGACATGCATCAATCAAGTCAGCAAGTCTGACCACCCGATCACGTTAGTCGCCTTTTACAACAAGCATAGTCACCTTTTACGGCAAGCATGGGTTGCTTAAGACCTATTCTACCCTGGAATCTTCATGCAAACATGGCACACTAACTATTTACTGTTAGCAGTGTTTTCACTACTCATTTTCACTTATAATTAGTGTTGGTGTAAGATTTATTAAAGAATACATTTGAGGTAAGAATCGATACTGTTTACTTAATGTGCGATTGTGATCAATACTTGTATGGAGAGATAAAAATTTGCAATCCTCCTGATGCATCGGTGTATCGTCCAACCACTGGACGACATATCTTCATGGTCATAGAAGGCACACCTTGGTTTGTTGGAACTATATCGACTGTATAAACACTGATACAATACAAGTATAATACAAGTATAATACAAGTTTAAAGGTAATCCAACATGGAGCAATGGCACAAGAGCTATGTACAATAATGAGACATTTCAATAAAATAAAACAAGAACAAAATAATGTGTGCTGCCAGGTTATGAAAGAATACAGTCCATTGATGGAACACAAGATATGTTTGAATAATAATACTGTCACTCATGTCCCAGACTCAGGAGAATTAGTTAGAAATACAAGTAGGGCCAAGTAAAAATACCATTTAAAAAATACAAATAATGTAAAAGTGATGCCCAGCCCATATGTTCCCTTATTTCCTCAGTATATAGGAGAAACTATTTGTTCCGACAATAGGAAACAAATGAGATTTCTCTTGAGATCTTCATGATAGGGTAGTGCTGATTCAACAAGTAGCTCAACATTGGGGAACGGAGTAAGTGAATACGGTATTCGACGTAATAAGCTCTAATAAGCGCCCACGGCGATATTTGCTATATTGGCTAGTGAACAAACCCAATTAGAACCCTTCCGATTGATCAATGTACACAAGACTTATTTATTCGCGTATAATACGCACTCGTGTGTTATATGCACACTTAATTATGGGCAAATAAATTCTCGAAACATATCTCTGTCGTATATAAACATTTCAGGCTGTCAGCATAAACCACGAAATTTATCTTTTAACTCTGTTTTTTTTCACCAAAATAATATTCTAATTAGAGCCCCCTATTATTAATTTTGAGAGCGCCCTGGGCGCTTATAACGTCGGATACGGTATGTCCCTTTTGGCAATGCTCCTCAACACAGGGTGAGTGGGACACCAGAAATGGTCAGATGAAGACTACTGACATGGTACTACTGGGCAGTAGGAGACATAGCTTATTCTCACAAAACAATCTCAACGGTCGTAGTACTTTCTGTGCTACTGTTTCAGAACACACGAGTGATGAGGAACTGTCATTCATAATCTTGACTTCATGGATAAGCTGTTGTAGACTAGATATATTTGCATTTCAACACTCAAGATTGAACATGAAAATATTATAAATGCAATATCAAGCAGAGATGATATCCTCAAAATAAAGTTCCAGGAACTACTGGGATCTAAAATCAGTAAACATTCATACATTGAGGGTATGACACTTTATCCCCAAACAACTCAAAATCCAGAACAAGTGATTATTCATTTATTGTATATGTAATAATTATGCTGATTATGCTGATGCCTGTATCAATGCCTGGGTCATTACTGTAAGTTGTGAAATAAATGCGACTCCAAAAGAATGCAACCGCTGGCCCCAAGCCAAAAATGCGACTCACTATGAATGCGACACCCCCCTCCTCTCAAGACAGTGGATTTGCCTTAAGAAAATGTCCTCTGTCAGGTTTACAGAATTCTCACCTTTATCCAACCTTACATTAATCCAATCACACACCAAATAGCACCGCTTATAAGCGCTGAGTAGAGTACTTCCGCTAAAACAATACCTGTCTGCTGGCTCTTGTCGGCCCTTGACGCAGTAGCAAAGAACTAAGACGCCGTGCTGCGTGGGCAGCGTCTGTCTGGACTTGCAGGTGCGATCAGTGATGACATAGAACTCTTGTCTTGAGTGACAATTCAGTGTTTGAATGGCATTGTTTAGATAATTGTTACAAGTGCTGCTCAATAAACAGTGATGTGGAATACATGTTTGTTTTCAGCGTATGTCTAAGTTGGTATTTCTGCTATCCAAAATGTCTTATTGTTGATATAAATGCAATGTTTAATAATGTGAGCAAAGACCACTCCCATTTTTCGCATTTCATTCACGCTCACGTTAATTTCAAGATTTACAGTATTAATTAGTCTAAAAATGATGATTTCTAAAAAATATGTTTCACTAAATCATATTCACAGAATTTGGTTCAAAATTTTATAATGCTTCTGTACAATCAATTATGCCATCGGAGTAAGCGATATTACATAAGATGCAGTATCTTGTAATTTGATCGCATTGATACACTCAGAGCACCGGTATACAGGCCAGCTGTCGCACACAGCTGTTGCTGACTCAGCACATCTGACAGTTTCGTGGTCATTAAATAGTACCACAAGAGGTAAACTCAATATTCATTGTTACTAGCACCTGGTTACTAAACATAATGATTACTCTGACAATAGCATTAACAAGGAGCCGAGTCTACTAATAAGTGTGTTAAGTGTATTTATGCTTGCTTGTCACATGTTACTACACATTATGCTGAAGGACAAGGCAGGTTTGATTTACAAGTCTTGGTTATGATTTTGATTACAAAATATTTGGAAGCACGAAGAAGGTGTATTATTATAATTATTATGAACTTGTAGCACTAGTATTGCAATGGAGGTTACAATGAGATCCTTCGCCCATGGAATACAGTCCCCTTGCAAAATAGAAGGAACTATATTCATGAATATATATAACCAATCCATAACAATGTATAATACGACCTTGTCTGTAGTACTTACCAAATTCAGTGGGCTTATTTTTTGTATAATGTAAAGGACATGTTTAAAATATACTACTCAAAAGAAGTTAAAGAACACCTGATTCTTTCATATGACTAGTTGTTGTCATGAGAGATTAACTATAGAAATATGAAAATTAGGTGTTCTTTGACTTTCTTTTGAGTAGTATACTTTTTATACATTTGGATGCAAAATACCTTGAATGCCTCACAAAACTAAGAGGGCTCATTTTATTGAAAATTTAAAGGAATTTCATTATTGGCCACAAACTCCTTGAATACATTAAATGCTTTGTTTGTGGTCCCTATCAAGACATCATCCTTTACAAACACACTTCACACATTTCAAACACACACCTCTTTCATTTCTTCCAAAGGAACCAATTTGGCAGTCAAAGATGCTATATACTGGTTCCCTGGCAACACTATGATAGTGTCATGTTGAACACCATGGGTATAGTGTCATTGAGCACGGAATATGATGTGTCGTTGAGGACGGAGTTCGATGTGATGTTGATCGCCGTTGCGTTGTTGATGCAGGGGTTGGATGATGCGGAGTGGTCCGCCATCAGTAGACCTGGACAGAGAGGAAAACATCCATGTACATGTCGAAAACATTATTAAACGTTTGTGAAAAAAACCCAACTTGATTTGCAGTTCAGTTGTAGGGACTGGTCACTTTGTTTGTTTGTTGTTTAACGCCGCACTCAGCAATATTCCAGCTACATGACCATGGTCTGTAAATAATCCAGTCTGGACCAGACAATCCAGTGATTGATATCATGAGCATCGATCGACGCCATTGGGATACGATGACATGCATCAACCAAGTCAGCGAGCCTGATCACCCGATCCCATTAGTCGCCTCTTACAACAAGCATAGTCGCCTTTTACGGCACACATGGGGTGCTGAAGATCTATTCTTCCCCGGATCTTCACGCAAACCTGGCACACTAACTATTTACTGTTGGCATAATATTTTTAGAAGACTTTGCCCAAGTGTACATTTTATTTCATGACCTTCATATGTGTCTTATTTTTTAGAACCCTATCCTAGAGACACATATGTGTTGATGACCCTCTCCTGATACCTTCTTCGAAAACAAATAGCAGAAATATATCTTCTTAGCAGCTAGGGTAACTACGGTTTAAGCCTCTTTTGTGAGCCCGACAGTTGAATACACAGGCTGTTCAGCCAATCACCCCAACTGTACCTACCTGCAATGGAGGCTGTCATGAGACATGCCACAATTCCTCCAAACAGTGCACGGATGACAATCTGGGCCAAGTCTTTCACACGTTTGGGTGCCATTGGTCCAAGGCCACCCAGTTGGATGCCGATGGAGCTCAGGTTGGAGAAGCCACACAGTGCGTACGTGGCGATAATCTCAGACCGCCGCTGGTGACAAATCAAAATATACCATACAATCAAAGAAAAGTAACATATATGTACGTGACACGATTTACTTATTTTCATTTGAGGGGTCGGGGGTCAATTGTCAATATACTCGTGTCCTTGATGTGAATGATATTATGTATTTTCAAAAGGGGAATCAAACCTCTTTTGAGTGTCTTAAGAATCTACAATACACTTTCTAGGACATTATCATCTTCCCGAGGCAAGGGAGTTAACTGACTTTAAAAGTCCAGTTTCCACCCTTGCCGAACTAGGCCGGAACTACTGGGCTCGATCGTTGCGCCACCAGTGGCTATTACCAATTATGTCCCTTCTAAGCCTCTCCTATGGACCAATCAGATTCCACCTCTCGTATCACTTGCGTTTGCTTCACACAAAATGGTGGCGCTCAGTCAGAACGATCTGATCAATAATCAAGATCTATATTGTGATAAAACGGGTCTTACATCGCGAAATGCATCAAATCACGTGAGCACCTTGATTAAAAACATGAAAAGATTTGGAAAATATCTGCTGACAACGAGTTGGCGGTGCACATGCTTTGCAAATCCTGCAATCAATCGAAATCTGCACGACAGTTTACAAACCGGATTTTGATTTCGGTGCACGATTTTGATTGGACTATGCATAGACTCGTTAGTCCAGACAAAATGTAACTCCATAATACCAGCCTAGTTCGGCAAGGGTGGAAACTGGACTTTTATAGTCAGTTTACTCTCTTGCCTCGGGAAGATGGGACATTATATGAGGTCAATACCTGTTTTGATTGACCCCAAAAGAAGCAATATTGACAAAATGATTGATTTACACATCTTCCTGAGGCAAGGGAGTGAACACAAATACAATTATAGTTGCCACCCTTGTCAAACTAGAATGGAATTTTTGGCTCGATTGTAGCGCCACCAGTGGCTATTGCGAGTTGTGTCCCTTCTATGTCCCACCTACTGACCAATCAGATTCCACCCCCAATATCACTTGCATTTGCTTCAAACAAAATGTTAGCGCCCATTGAAGATGACCTGATTGATAATCAAGATCAGTGAGCACCTCATTAAAAAACATAAAGTTTCGGAAAGTAAAGTTGACGGTTCACATGCTTTGCAAATCCTGCAATCAATCAATATCTACACTGCAGTTTTCGAACCAGATGTTGATTTCGTACGTGATTTTAATTGGACTTTACATAGACTCGTTAGTCCAGCCAAAATATAACCCCATAATTCCAACCAAAAGCAAGGGTGGAAACTGGACTTATACAGTAAGTTAACTCCCTTGCCTCAGGAAGATGGGGCTTACACTGCTTTTAGCAATATTACCACAATATATCGACAGGGAACACCAAAAACGGGTTTCACAGATTGCACCCATGTGGGAGTCTAACCCAGGCCATCGGTGCGACAAGTGAATACTTTAACCACTAGGCTATCCAATCGCCCGATATATTTACAGAGGGCAAAGCACATGATGATATTGGTTTTTCTCAGGTTGATAAAAACAAGTATTAACCGCATATAAAGTACATAATTGATTTATTATGAAATATAGAGACAAAGGCAGATTTAACATTTCAATATACATTAGCTACAATAATGTTAGTTGGTTCCAACAAAAAGAGAAATCTGAATGACTTAGGTATGGGGAATACCATTTCTAGGTAATTCCCATTCTATCATAAATAACACAGGTCACTACCGTAATTAGTCAGACCTGACACAGAGTCAATATGTTTTTCTGTCAAATGACATGTGACTACTTCTAGGCCAATGAACATGAAAATACTTTGCATTACTTAATGATGTTAGGGGTATAACGATAAAGCCAGGACACGATACGATAAGTATTGCAATACAAATATTTACGTCAAATCTTGTGGAAATTCCTTGACTATAAATATTTCAGAGCTGGTTTAAAAGGAAAAGCTAGCTATAGACACATGTTCATAGCGGCTTTTCTTAGTAGAGAACTTGAAAAAACCAATTATGACACAAGTGTTTTGTCTTGTATTGATACAGAAAAAAAAGTTTCATGTATGGGATAATCACATGAACATTCACGATGCACCGGTGTATCACTTCACCCCTAAATAATGTGGACTACCACATTCGACGTACACAAGACTTATTTATGCGCGTATAATACGCACTCGTGTGTTATATGCACCCTTAATTATGGGCGATTAAATTCTGGAAAAATATATCTGTCGTATATAAACATTCCAGGCTGTCAGCATAAACCACAAAATTTATCCTTTAACTCCTTATAGAGAGCCCCTTATTTCTAATTTTGAGAGCGCCCTGGGCGCTTATTACGTCAAATACGGTATTTTGCTGTTATCTTGATTAAAATCTTTAGTTGAGAAACACTTACGGAGATGGTGGTTCCATCCTTGCAATCTTCACGGTTGGTGATGAACTTGGCTAGCTCCTTATAGGCCACAAACTCATTGAGGAAAGTCTTGATGCCGACTAGTTCGCCCACCACCCCTGCGTCCTTCCACTCCACCCCCATCAGGTACGCCACGGGCATAAAGACATAGGAACAGATTTTCTGGAGCAAAAGGAAGTTATACGGTTTGGGAAAATTTAAATTCATTGTTCTTCTTAGTTCTATTTTAAAGAGGAATTTTTCAAATGGGTACAAAATGTCTGATTGGGATTGTTTTACTGGAACCATGGCTAAAACTATTTAGATAGTCAGAAGTAAGATGTGCATAGTCAGAAAGCAAAGATGTGCATATTCAGAAAGCAATGTGTACATTAGCAACTTGTAGTGTAACCATGGTGTTTTATTGTTATTGTCATTATCAATATATCACGTGAATAACCACGGGTGTGGTAGTCCCTTGGGTACCCAGGTCCTACTCAGGGCCCACCCGACCTGAGTGCTTGAGTTACCCCATCCCAGCATTCACCCACACAGATCAGCAATAAACAAGTCCTCACCTCAAACGAGAGCTGTGGGAAGCAGACGAAGGCCCCAAACCAGGACAGGACTGCATTGACGAAGGCAAGCAGAGCCAAGAAGGCGATGAGGTTGGCGGTGATGTTGGCGACGAGGCAGATGGAGGTGGATGCCCCAGCAGCTGCAGCCTCAAGGAAGTTGCGAGGTTTGCTGGAAATACAAGTATGAGCGAGTTGGGATCTATGTGTGGTAGTTTACTATTTGAGGCTTTATCATGGCGTGGTAGTTTTCTAGTCAAGGCTTTATCATGGCGTGGTAGTTTTCTAGTCAAGGTTTTATCATGGCGTGGTAGTTTTCTAGTCAAGGTTTTATCATGGCATGGTAGTTCTCTAGTCAAGGTTTTATCATGGCGTGGCAGTTCTCAAGTCAAGGCTTTATCATGGCGTGGCAGTTCTCAAGTCAAGGCTATATCACGGGTACTGGAGTTGGGTGTACCGACCACATCCCTACTTGTCATGGCGTGGTAGTTCTCTAGTCAAGGCTATATCACGGGTACTGGAGTTGGGTCTACTGACCACATCCCTACTTGTCAAGGTGTGCCTCACTCACTTGTCATTGTCCTCTTGCTCCAAGTCATCGATGTCCTCCAGCTTGCTAGTCTCCGTCTCTGGGTGGAGCAGTTTGGACACGGCCAGGGCACAGGGGGCGTTCATCACACTCGCACACAACAGGTGTTCTGCAGGAACACCAAACGACACATAGGCAGCCAGTACACTCCCAGCAATAGTGGCAAAACCTCCCACCATGACGGCGTGCAGCTCCGAACGAGTCATCACGTTCAGGTACGGTCTGATTAAGATGGGAGCCTCCGTCTACAAAAGACATTAATGTTGAACGAAAGTTAGATATTTTCACTGTAAACAAAAGCAGGGTTTTATGCTACAGACAGATGTGCGTCAAGTATGGATGGAGAAAAAAATATATATAGCGCGTCCCAAGGGACGCACAATAATATTCATCATTCCTACAGCACAACAGAATGGGTTATGGGTGTCTGTTATTTCATCCATCAATCATGGACACTGTCCACATGATCATTGATTCATTCCAGGCTCTAAAGAAATGACTTACAGTACACTACACTACACCATTTATATTTATAAAGGACCCGCACATTTCCTGTAAAGACCCTTAAAATTTATTATTGGGGATCCCCTAGTCCTCCACTTTTGTAAGACAAGGTAAACCCTGCAAATGGACAGTTTGCTTGCTTAATACCACAGTCAGCCGTATTCCAGGTGACCGTTTCCTGTAATTCATCATATCTGGAGTGAGTGAGTGAGTGGGTGGGTGGGTGGGTGGGTGGGTGGGTGGGTGAGTGAGTGAGTGAGTGAGTGAGTGAGTGAGTGAGTGAGTGAGTGAGTGAGTGAGTGAGTGAGTGAGTGAGTGAGTGAGTGAGTGTGAGAGAGAGAGAGAGAGAGAGAGAGAGAGAGAGAGAGAGTGATTTTTATGCCACTTTTTGCAATATTCCAGCAATACCACGAAAGGGGGACATCACAAATGGACTTCACGCATTGTAGCCATGTTGGGAATCGAACCCGGGTCTTTGGCGTGACGAGCGAATGCTTTAACCACTAGGCGACCCGACCGCCCCCATCATGTCTGGACCAGACACACCTGTGATGTGCATTCTGAAAGCATGATGATGCAACCAAGTTACCAAGCCAGACTACCCGACTAGTCGTGCCTCGTTTATACGGACACTTCACGCGTCATTTCACAATTCGTCCGTATAAACAAATTTCCGTATAACTGAAACCAGCTTCTTACTGGAAGAGTTACTTCCCTTCAATTATGCAACTCATGACAGATGACAGAGCTCGTCTCAAACGTAACTCAGTGTCACTTGGTTAATTGACTTCTCGCGAATCAAACGATTACCACCAGCGGAAGGATTAACGAGGTTTCCGGATATCTGAAGTCCATATAAGCGGGGCATGACTGTATATTTACAGCAATGGAGACAATGGACAGATTATTTGCTAACCTGGCCGACGAAGATGTTGCCAGCAGCACACAGACTCTCGGCAGCGGTTGTACCCAGCAAGCTCTTCATCACGAAGGCGATGTTGCCGATGATGAACTGCATGGTGCCGAGGTAGTACAGGATAGAGATGAAGCAGCTGAAGAAGATGATCACCGGAAGCACCTGTAACCATGGAAACAGAAGTTATATATCATCTTTTAGTAGTATAGTATTTTTGTTTATTTGTTTAACACCATGTTCAGAAATATTAAAGGTATATGACAGGGCCTGAATAATGTTTGCACCAGAAAATACAATGACTGATACTTCAATGAAATCACTGCAGTGGATGTTAGACAAGCTATCAACGAAGACAACAAGTCTGACGACAGGATTCATATAGCATCACTCATTACCATTTAATGTTGTTTGGGAAGTGTTCTACACCCTGAATGCCCTGTAACATGATGAGAAACACAAAAGGAGCATGAAACAATGAAGTCAAGATCAGATCCAAGTTTAACAGCTGTTGTTTGCATTCTGGTGTCTGCAATAAACTATTGGTGGAAACTGTGTGTGTGTGTTTGTTTTATGTTGCACTCAGCACTATTCCAGCTATATGATGCCGGTCTGTAAACAATTAAGTCTTGACCAGACAATCCAGTGACTGACATCATGAGCATCAATCCACGCTATTTGGATTGATGACATGTATCAACCAAGTCAGTGAGCCTGACACCTGATCCCATTAGTCGCCTCTTACGACAAGCATAGTTGCTGAATACCGATTCTTCCCCGGATCTTCACGGGTCACTTGTGGAAACTGTCATAGAATTGCTTCAGGGAGAAATCAGAGGACACATTTCTTTTAAACTATTGTAAGAAGTGCTGATCTCAAGCCAAGCAAACTATTCGTTACAAATTGTGAACATGATACCAGAGTATGACAGGAAGTGGGTGGACTTACCTTCATAGCAAAGATGTGGTCAGTGTATTTATCTCCGAAGACAAATTTGGAACCGAAATCGGTAAATGCCAGGAACTTCTGAATCTCCTTCCCAAGAAAGTAGAACACCCTGTAGCCGATATCCCACTTCAGGATTAGCACAGCAAAGTAAAACTGAAGCGTGAACCCGCCGAGCACCGGCCGCCATCGCACCTGAAACCAGCACCCATTAACAGATGAAGATAACTTACTGGATCATCACCAAGGATTTGTGAAGCACTGCAGTCAGTAATATGACAGTGTAGGGATTTATCTTGGATTCCAGACTATGTGCCCTTGGCTTGGGACAATAATGAGATATACCAGTCGATGATCAGGAAATCATTAACTCCTATGGTAGCCAGCATTGAGAAAGTTTGTTTGTTGTTTAACACTGCCACTTAGCAAAATTCCAGCTATATGACATTGAGTCAGTGAGTGAGTGAGTGAGTATGGTTTTACGCCGCTTTTAGCAATATTCCAGCAATATGACGGCGGGGGACACCAGAAATGGGCTTCACAGATTGTACCAATGTCGGGAATCGAACCCGGGTCTTTGGCGTGACGATCGAACGCTTTAACCACTAGGCTACCCGACCGCCCCCATTGAGTCAGTGGGGAAGCAAGCAGTGTGAGTGGTGCAAGTGTGTGTGTGTGTGTTGTAGGGGGGTGGGATGGGGGGGGTATTGGGGTGTAAACAGTGGGAGTGTTGTGTGTCAGTGGGTGGGTGAGCACTTGGTTGGCGTGTGACTGGTTGGTCAGTGTATGTGTGGTCATTGTGTGTGGTGTGGGTAGTTGTGACCGGTTGGTCATAGGGTGTTTGAGCGGTTGGTTGGCGTGTGACTGGTCAGTGGGTGTGGGAGTGGGAGTGGGAGTGGGTGTGGGTGTGGGTGTGGGTGTGGGTGTGGGTGTGGGTGTTTGAGCGGTTGGTTGGCGTTTGACTGGTCAGTGGGTGTGTAAGCGGTTGGTTGGTGTGTGACTGGTCAGTGGGTGTGACAGCGGTTGGTTGGCGTGTGACTGGTCAGTGGCTGTGTAAGCGGTTGGTTGGTGTGTGACTGGTCAGTGGCTGTGTATGCGGTTGGTTGGCGTGTGACTGGTCAGTGGGTGTGTAAGCAGGAGTGGGTGTGGGTGTGGGTGTGGGTGTGTGAGCGGTTGGTCAGTCTGTGATCGGTGTGTGTGGTGTGGGTAGTTTTGACTGGTTGGTTAGTGGGTGTGTGAACAGTTGGTCGGTGTGTGACTGGTCAGTGGGTGTGGGAGAGGTGGTTGTAGTGTGGGTGTGTGAGCGGTTGGTCAGTCTGTGATCGGTGTGTGTGGTGTGGGTAGTTAAATTGACTGGTTGGTTAGTGGGTGTGTGAGCAGTTGGTCGGTGTGTGACTGGTCAGTGGGTGTGGGAGAGGTGGTTGTAGTGTGGGTGTGGGAGTGGGTGTGACAGCGGTTGGTTGGCGTGTGACTGGTCAGTGGCTGTGTAAGCGGTTGGTTGGTGTGTGACTGGTCAGTGGCTGTGTATGCGGTTGGTTGGCGTGTGACTGGTCAGTGGGTGTGTAAGCAGGAGTGGGTGTGGGTGTGGGTGTGGGTGTGGGTGTGTGAGCGGTTGGTCAGTCTGTGATCGGTGTGTGTGGTGTGGGTAGTTTTGACTGGTTGGTTAGTGGGTGTGTGAACAGTTGGTCGGTGTGTGACTGGTCAGTGGGTGTGGGAGAGGTGGTTGTAGTGTGGGTGTGTGAGCGGTTGGTCAGTCTGTGATCGGTGTGTGTGGTGTGGGTAGTTTTGACTGGTTGGTTAGTGGGTGTGTGAGCAGTTGGTCGGTGTGTGACTGGTCAGTGGGTGTGGAAGAGGTGGTTGTAGTGGGTGTGTAAGCGGTTGGTCAGTCTGTGATCGGTGTGTGTGGTGTGGGTAGTTTTGACTGGTTGGTTGGTCGGTGTGTGACTGGTCAGTGGGTGTGGGAGAGGTGGTTGTAGTGTGGGTGTGTGAGCGGTTGGTCAGTCTGTGGTCGGTGTGTGTGGTGTGGGTAGTTTTGACTGGTTGGTTAGTGGGTGTGTGACTGGTCAGTGGGTGTGGGAGAGGTGGTTGTAAAGTGGGTGGTTGTGACTGGTTGGTCAGTGTGTGGGAGTGGGAGTGGTTGTAGGGTGGGCGATGACTAATTCTGTGGTCAGTGTGCAAGATGTTACCTGTGTGGGGCTGGAGGACAAGAGAAAGAGGACGATGATGAAGGTGATGATGCCGACGAGGGACACCAGGTTGCTAGGGACCTCCCACACGGTGTAGACGATCAGGGCAAGCATGCCGCCATACACCAAGAACAAAGCAACCCTGAAACAGTCACAGTTCAATACTAACATGATAAATTATCTCAAAATGTCACTCATGCAGCGTTTTTATGGGTTTTACAATACATTATAATTATAAGGACCAGTGGACTAAAACCGTTAGTTTCTACCGCTGTCATGAAGTAATAAGTGTTGAAATAACTTAACATAAGGCAACTAATAATTGATAGTCGAATAATCTGTCATCTCAAATACTAAAATATGATGACGTCGTCGCTGGAAACCAGACTTTCAAAACAAGTGCTGAAGGGGACTGACATGATATAGATGAGCCATGACACCGGCAGCATGATCAGCAGACATGTTACACGCCTGTAGTGTGTCGTAAACATCAATGGTACATAGTCATGTGTGCTCTAATACTTTCATTAACAAGTATATGTCATTTGGTACACATGCAAGGCTTTTCAAGCCATTTGTGATTTTCAAGGCTTTTCAATTTTGACACTAAAAATCAAGGCTTTTCAAGAGGGACCTTAAATTTCAAGACTTTTTCAAGTCTATGCGAACCTTCTTCTCTATCTATGGCATATTCAGACCAATATTTTCAATCTTAAAGAAGAGTGTATGAACACAGTAGTCATACTTGTGGTCTTATTTGTCAACACAGTAGCCATGCTTGTAGTCTTATTTGTCAACACAGTACCATACTTGTAGTCTTATTTGTCAACACAGTAGACATGCTTGTAGTCTTATTTGTCAACACAGTAGCCATACTTGTAGTCTTATTTGTCAACAAAGTAGCCATGCTTGTGGTCTTATTTGTCAACACAGTACCATACTTGTAGTCTTATTTGTCAACACAGTAGACATACTTGTAGTCTTATTTGTCAACACAGTAGCCATGCTTGTAGTCTTATTTGTCAACACAGTAGCCATGCTTGTAGTCTTATTTGTCAACACAGTACCATACTTGTAGTCTTATTTGTCAACACAGCACCATACTTGTAGTCTTATTTGTCAACACAGTAGACATACTTGTAGTCTTATTTGTCAACACAGTAGCCATGCTTGTAGTCTTATTTGTCAACACAGTAGCCATGCTTGTAGTCTTATTTGTCAACACAGTACCATACTTGTAGTCTTATTTGTCAACACAGCACCATACTTGTAGTCTTATTTGTCAACACAGTAGCCATACTTGTAGTCTTATTTGTCAACACAGTAGCCATGCTTGTGGTCTTATTTGTCAACACAGTACCATACTTGTAGTCTTATTTGTCAACACAGTAGCCATGCTTGTAGTCTTATTTGTCAACACAGCACCATGCTTGTAGTCTTATTTGTCAACACAGTAGCCATGCTTGTGGTCTTATTTGTCAACACAGTAGCCATGCTTGTGTGGTCTTATTTGTCAACACAGTAGCCATGCTTGTGGTCTTATTTGTCAACACAGTAGTCATGCTTGTGGTCTTATTTGTCAACACAGTAGCCATGCTTGTAGTCTTATTTGTCAACACAGTAGCCATGCTTGTAGTCTTATTTGTCAGCACAGTAGCCATGCTTGTAGTCTTATTTGTCAACACAGTACCATGCTTGTAGTCTTATTTGTCAACACAGTAGCCATACTTGTGGTCTTATTTGTCAACACAGTAGCCATGCTTGTGGTCTTATTTGTCAACACAGTACCATACTTGTAGTCTTATTTGTCAACACAGTACCATGCTTGTGGTCTTATTTGTCAACACAGTAGCCATGCTTGTGGTCTTATTTGTCAGCACAGTACCATGCTTGTGGTCTTATTTGTCAGCACAGTAGCCATGCTTGTAGTTTTATTTGTCAACACAGTACCATGCTTGTGGTCTTATTTGTCAGCACAGTAGCCATGCTTGTAGTCTTATTTGTCAACACAGTAGCCATGCTTGTAGTCTTATTTGTCAACACAGTAGCCATGCTTGTAGTCTTATTTGTCAGCACAGTAGCCATGCTTGTAGTCTTATTTGTCAACACAGTAGCCATGCTTGTGGTCTTATTTGTCAACACAGTAGCCATGCTTGTAGTCTTATTTGTCAACACAGTAGCCATGCTTGTAGTCTTATTTGTCAACACAGTAGTCATGCTTGTAGTCTTATTTGTCAACACAGTACCATGCTTGTAGTCTTATTTGTCAACACAGTAGTCATGCTTGTAGTCTTATTTGTCAACACAGTACCATGCTTGTGGTCTTATTTGTCAACACAGTAGCCATGCTTGTAGTCTTATTTGTCAACACAGTAGCCATGCTTGTAGTCTTATTTGTCAACACAGTAGCCATGCTTGTAGTCTTATTTGTCAACACAGTAGTCATGCTTGTAGTCTTATTTGTCAACACAGTACCATGCTTGTGGTCTTATTTGTCAACACAGTAGCCATGCTTGTAGTCTTATTTGTCAACACAGTAGCCATGCTTGTAGTCTTATTTGTCAACACAGTAGCCATGCTTGTAGTCTTATTTGTCAACACAGTAGTCATGCTTGTAGTCTTATTTGTCAACACAGTACCATGCTTGTGGTCTTATTTGTCAACACAGTAGCCATGCTTGTAGTCTTATTTGTCAACACAGTAGCCATGCTTGTAGTCTTATTTGTCAACACAGTAGCCATGCTTGTAGTCTTATTTGTCAACACAGTAGCCATGCTTGTGGTCTTATTTGTCAACACAGTACCATGCTTGTGGTCTTATTTGTCAACACAGTACCATGCTTGTAGTTTTATTTGTCAACACAGTAGCCATGCTTGTAGTCTTATTTGTCAACACAGTACCATGCTTGTGGTCTTATTTGTCAACACAGTAGTCATGCTTGTAGTCTTATTTGTCAACACAGTAGCCATGCTTGTAGTCTTATTTGTCAACACAGTAGCCATGCTTGTAGTCTTATTTGTCAACACAGTAGCCATGCTTGTGGTCTTATTTGTCAACACAGTAGCCATACTTGTGGTCTAATTTGTCAACACAGTAGCCATGCTTGTAGTCTTATTTGTCAACACAGTAGCCATACTTGTGGTCTTATTTGTCAACACAGTAGCCATACTTGTGGTCTTATTTGTCAACACAGTACCATGCTTGTGGTCTTATTTGTCAACACAGTACCATGCTTGTGGTCTTATTTGTCAACACAGTAGCCATACTTGTGGTCTTATTTGTCAACACAGTAGCCATACTTGTGGTCTTATTTGTCAACACAGTGACATGCTTGTGGTCTTATTTGTCAACACAGTACCATGCTTGTGGTCTTATTTGTCAACACAGTAGCCATACTTGTGGTCTTATTTGTCAACACAGTAGCCATACTTGTGGTCTTTTTTGTCAACACAGTACCATGCTTGTAGTCTTATTTGTCAACACAGTAGCCATACTTGTAGTCTTATTTGTCAACACAGTACCATGCTTGTAGTCTTATTTGTCAACACAGTAGCCATACTTGTGGTCTTATTTGTCAACACAGTAGCCATACTTGTGGTCTTATTTGTCAACACAGTAGCCATGCTTGTGGTCTTATTTGTCAACACAGTAGCCATGCTTGTAGTCTTATTTGTCAACACAGTAGCCATACTTGTAGTCTTATTTGTCAACACAGTAGCCATACTTGTGGTCTTATTTGTCAACACAGTAGCCATGCTTGTGGTCTTATTTGTCAACACAGTAGCCATGCTTGTAGTCTTATTTGTCAACACAGTAGCCATACTTGTGGTCTTATTTGTCAACACAGTAGCCATACTTGTGGTCTTATTTGTCAACACAGTAGCCATGCTTGTGGTCTTATTTGTCAACACAGTAGCCATACTTGTGGTCTTATTTGTCAACACAGTAGCCATACTTGTGGTCTTATTTGTCAACACAGTACCATGCTTGTAGTCTTATTTGTCAACACAGTAGCCATACTTGTGGTCTTATTTGTCAACACAGTAGCCATACTTGTAGTCTTATTTGTCAACACAGTAGCCATACTTGTGGTCTTATTTGTCAACACAGTAGCCATACTTGTGGTCTTATTTGTCAACACAGTAGCCATGCTTGTGGTCTTATTTGTCAACACAGTAGCCATACTTGTGGTCTTATTTGTCAACACAGTAGCCATACTTGTGGTCTTATTTGTCAACACAGTACAATGCTTGTAGTCTTATTTGTCAACACAGTAGCCATGCTTGTGGTCTTATTTGTCAACACAGTAGCCATACTTGTGGTCTTATTTGTCAACAGTAGCCATACTTGTAGTCTTATTTGTCAACACAGTAGTCATGCTTGTAGTCTTATTTGTCAACACAGTAGCCATGCTTGTAGTCTTATTTGTCAACACAGTAGCCATGCTTGTAGTCTTATTTGTCAACACAGTAGCCATGCTTGTAGTCTTATTTGTCAACACAGTAGCCATTCTTGTGGTCTTATTTGTCAACACAGTAGCCATGCTTGTGGTCTTATTTGTCAACACAGTAGCCATACTTGTAGTCTTATTTGTCAACACAGTAGCCATGCTTGTAGTCTTATTTGTCAACACAGTAGTCATGCTTGTAGTCTTATTTGTCAACACAGTAGCCATACTTATGGTCTTATTTGTCAACACAGTAGCCATGCTTGTAGTCTTATTTGTCAACACAGTAGTCATGCTTGTAGTCTTATTTGTCAACACAGTAGCCATACTTATGGTCTTATTTGTCAACACAGTAGCCATGCTTGTAGTCTTATTTGTCAACACAGTAGCCATGCTTGTAGTCTTATTTGTCAACACAGTAGCCATGCTTGTAGTCTTATTTGTCAACACAGTACCATGCTTGTAGTCTTATTTGTCAACACAGTAGTCATGCTTGTGGTCTTATTTGTCAACACAGTAGCCATGCTTGTAGTCTTATTTGTCAACACAGTAGCCATGCTTGTAGTTTTATTTGTCAACACAGTACCATGCTTGTGGTCTTATTTGTCAACACAGTAGTCATGCTTGTGGTCTTATTTGTCAACACAGTAGCCATGCTTGTAGTCTTATTTGTCAACACAGTAGCCATGCTTGTA